AGATAGCGTCCTGTTCAGTTCCTGAAGTGGTACGTGATCTTATTGCACAGAAGTCTTTAGAAGAGAACTTTGTTGTGGTACTTGATCATTATCGGTGGAATGTATCACTTTCTGAAAAGGTTCATCGACTATCTCTCCACTTTCCTCACACAAAGTATGCAATGACAAACATCAGATCGTCACAAGTTCGGTCACTTTCTTGTTTTGGATTATCTAAATGCATGCCTTCTATTACGGAGTTTAAGCTTCTCCGTGTTCTAAACCTCAATTTATCTGGCCATGACGATGACGATGAGGACATAATAGATCTCACTTGGATTTCTGAACTATTGCGATTGAGATATTTAAAGGTTGCAAGTGATGTCTGCATAGAACTACCAAAGCATATGGGAGGTTTACAGTATTTGGAAACCGTGGATATCAGCAAGAAAGTCACAGATGTTCCGTCGGATATTATTCATCTACCGCGCCTGTTGCACCTCCATCTACCTTTTGAGACAAATCGGATGGACTGGCTTGGACCAGCTGCCAGTGTGTGGAGCTTTGGCAAGCCGACCGACCTGCAGTATCTTTATCTCACCTGTTTTATACCGGTTCCTGACCATCTGCAGAGAAACATTCTTATCATTCTGGGCTCTTTATTTAGAGGGCTTGGAAGCTTGAAAACTCTAGCCTTCATCCTTAGCTCTGTTCATAAAAATGCTGTTGCTCATGGCCCTTCAGAAGAAACCGTTACCTGGGACTGGGATGACTTTGCACCTCCCCTGCTCGAGAGGTTTGAATGGTTGCTGCACAGCTGCAGCTTTTCCAGAGTTCCCAAGTGGATTGGAAAGCTTGGCAGCCTCTGCATTTTAAAGATTTCAGTAAGGGAACTGGTGAGGGATGGTGTTAACATTCTAGGAGAATTGCCTGCTCTCACAACTTTGTCTCTGTATGTGAAGATGCCGCTCGTTGAGAGGATCATCTTCGACAAGGCAGGATTCTCAGTTCTCGAGTACTTCAAGTTCAAGTGCAGTACACTACCTTGGCTGAAATTCGAGGCGGATGCAATGCCTAACCTCCAGAAGCTCAAGCTAGGCTTCAGTGCCCATAGCCACAGGGTGGATCAGCAAAGCACTGTGCCTATCAGCATCGAGCACTTGCCTAGTCTTAAAGAGATCTCGGCAAAAGTTGCAGATGCCAGTTCCGATGCAGAGTCTGCCTTGACGGCTGCGATCAGCAATCATCCAAGAAATCCTAGAATCAGAATGCAATTGGTGGATTGGAACTCTTATGGTCACGGAGTTTGGTACACAGTCAGCAAACCGGAAAATCCCCTCGCTCTAGAAGAAGATAATATCCCTGACCCTGAGGAAGGCCTGGATGATCTCCGTGTGCCTCAATACAAGGACTCAAGGGACGATCAGAATAAAAAAGCTTATATCAGGTACGAATTTTCCTTGTTATGCAAATGGAAAATTTCATAAAATTAGACCTGCGTGCACATGTGCATACCATTGCCAAGGAACTAGCCGCTTACTTCACCCAATTTGTAAGGAACTGTATTTATGTCATCCACGGTTAGAGCAACTCCAGCAATGGCCCTTAAAACATAGCTCCTACTTTTCGTTTAAGGGCTCTTACTACTTTTTAGGGCTCTGTTTTCTAGGTTGCACTTCAGCAGTGGCTTTCAAAATACAGCCCTCAAATCCATTCCAACAGAGGTTGACGCCTGAGACCCACTTGTCATTGACTTCCTCAGCCAAAACACTATTAATCAGAGTTGGTTAGGTTGGTTTGCGCAACGTTTTTATGGTCATGGGTTGGAGTCCAACCAATTGCTGTCTGTATTTTGCATAAAAAGCGCACAATATGCCAAGTATAAGTTAAAGAGACACACATTTTTTTGTCAAATAAAAGTTCAAAAACATGAAAATATATTTTGAGAGGGTCATCCTAATGATCTGCTTCTAAAAATGCATTTCTAGGGACATGCCATCCAATGGACTGCCCATAAAAATGCATTTTCACAGGCAGTTGCATGGCAGTCCCTAAAAATATGTTTTTTGCTACAAATACTTGCTTAGAAGATGCAAAAACTGCCTCCAAAAATTAATTTTGGGTGCATCTAGAAATAGTATTTTGTATTGACTAAAATGCTGATATAACATGCTTACCCACCATGGTGAACTTAAGAAAGTCCTAAGAGGGAGGTTGAATTGGGTTCTAAAATATTAAAGCGGCAACTTTTAGCCTATTCAAAAACTAACGCATTTCTTGCACATTGAAAGGCCCTAGAACTAAACAAGCCACACTTGAAACAGTCTTTAAGGCCACTACACTAAGTCAAGTCCTTAAACTCAAACAAACTAACAAAAGAAGCCCTTAATGTGAAAAGGAAACCTATCAACTAGAGCATACTACCGCAAGAACAATCGTAGATGTCAAACAAGTACCCCTTGCACACAAAAGCACAACACAAGATCAAATATATGAAGAAATGCAAGAAGAGTGGATAATAGACAACCAGATTTTTTTCATGTGCAATCAAGGTGTTAGAACACCCCATATCCTACGTTGCTGCAACCACTAAGAGTAGTCTTGAGTCACCAAGACTCAAGATCCACTAAGAGTAGTATATGTCCACTAAGAGTATCCGTTTTCCATCTCCAGGGTGGTGAATCTCAAACCACGTACAACTCACCAAGACTTGCAAGGCTCTAATAAGAACACCAAGATCACTTGAATCCATCACCAAGCACCAACACCATCTAGGTGCTCCAAATCATTAGAAGTAACAATAATGAGAAGCCCTCACTAGCTCACTTGACCAAACAAGACCTAGAGCTCTATGATGCACACTTGTCACTCTAATTTCTCTCTCGACTTTCCAATGTGTAAGGGCTCGTGAGCACCCAAGAGAGGGGTGAATTGAATGTCTAATTTTAAACTTAAATCCTTTGAATTAAATTAAACTACCACTAGAAAAAACATAAATTACTCTAGCAAGATGTACACTTAAGTTTTTCTAGTGTGCTCTGACTTATCCTTAACCCAAAAGAGTTTAGCAACCTAGGGCCAATCCTATCAACTAGCCTATATCTAATATAGAAAGGTAAAGGCCAAATCCAAAAGAGTTTAGCAACCAAGGGCCAATCCTATCAACTAGCCTATAGCTAATCTAGGAAGGTAATGCTCACACAAGCAAAACACAAGAGGAAGCGACAAACAAATAAGTAAAAAGCTAAGGATAGACAAGGCAAACTCCCGTCAATGATATATCCCGTGGTATTGGTGAATTTAATGCTCTGGTGGGAATATTCCCCTAGGCGCTTGTGTTGATCCAATTGTCTGGCTCATTGTTTTCTTCTAGCCATACTATCCGGCCCGTTGATCAGCATAGTGCTTTGGCACTAAGGGTGGCTGGACTCCACACACGTTTGTCCGGTGCGTGTAAATCACTTCGCCGGACCATTCGTTGTGTGCTTCTTTTACGCACTAAATCATTTTTGCTCTGTTTCTTCACCGGTCTTTGTGCCACCTCTTTTCTTGCATCCCTAGGGCCTATCTAACACATAATACACATGTTAGTCCTAGACTTGTGTTGTCATCTCAATCACTAAAACTAAAAGATATGATCGTGTGCACATGACCCTTACACAATGATGTGGCTATCTCTCCAAGGTGTTAAGAGACCTCAAATGACTATCTTTCCAAGGTGTTAAGAGACCTCAAATGAATGCCCTTGAGGTGTTTTTATAGTCATTAGAAGTTGGTTACGAGCCGCTGCCAAAGTACGGGAAAAAGGGAATAAAAAAATTGAGTATACTTGAGAATCTGGTCAACACCGCCGGACCGTCCGACCAATACTTTGGCACAGTGTGTGCCTTGCAATGGTCATGTGATCTCTGATTGTCAGGCGCTCACTTAGTTTAACTGCCTGACTGTCCAATCCATTCTTTTGCACAATACCTCCCATACTGTTCCAAAACCCCAAGCTCTATGGGCTGTTCTCTCAAAGTCTGGTGCACACAGTGCCTTGACCACTGCACCACCACTCTAGTGCTCTTGAACAGTGCCTTGAACTGTGTCTTATCTAGACTTAGCTTCTATTTGTTCAGCTATTAGATTCCTTCCACCGTCAGACTATCCAATCCATGTTTTTGAACAGTCCCACCCACGAAGGGCTTGGCTGGACACCAAATGTGTTTGTCCGGTGCTGTCATTAATTTTCTAGACTTGCGGAGTATTTGGCCAATGCAATTTTCTTGTTTTGACTCCAATTTCTTGGTCCTAACTCAAAATTGACTCAAACTTGTTTTCCTAGTTCCTTTATGCATGAACTAACATTCTGAACCATTGTTCCCTAGAGTACGTCACTAAGCTCATGAAACTCATAGGTCAAGCTACCAGCTCTCATTCCTCCCTTTATAGTACACTCGAAGATTCCAAACTAGTAAAAGCTATTTACCCAAGGGTACTTTATCTTCTTTGTGACTCTTGGCTCTAGAAATGTTCTTAGCCTTCAATCCAAATTCTTGATCACCTTGAAACAAAAATCGGGGGTCACATTCCTTTTGTGCTCTTGTTACCCATCTTTGAAATTGTTAAAATAAATGTTAGTCACAATAGCACGCAATTGTCATTAAGCACCGATACTTACCAGTTACCTAGGGGCTTAGATCCTTGCAGACTATTTATTGTTCATTGATACATTGTGCAAAAGTAAGTATAGTCCCTTCATTCAGAAAGGGTGAAGAAGTCAGTTCCTTGGTAATTTTGCACATTCATCAAATTTGCTGAGTTTTGTATGGTAAACCTTGTGACGTACTTCACAACCCATATATCTTATCTTCAAACTGACACCAGGCATGATGGCGGCAAGAAGAGTCGGAAGGAGAATAGGACAGAAAATTTGGAAAGCCCGGATGCCTCTCCTTCACTATTCTTTATAGAAGGATCCGTACAGAACAACTGGGTTTTTAAGCATTTTACTGCTTCATATGCCTCTAAAGTGACATATGCCTCTCCTCCTCCAAACATTACCAATAAAGGAAAATCCTATGCATCTTCAACTACCTCAACTATCTCCTGCACTTCTGAGGCAGCTAATCCCCAACAACGTGACTGTAAAAATTGAAAGATTTCGGGCCGAAGAATCAGGGTGTTGCATAGCCCATGGTGGTGGTAGGCGTTGCCAGAAAGATGGATGCCAAAAGGTTGTTGAAAGGAGGAGAATCTTTTGCAATGCCCATGGCGGAGGCAGGAGATGCGAACATATTGGTTGCACAAGGAGGGCTGAAGAGCTCGCATACTACTGTATAGCTCATGGCGGTGGCCGCCCTTGCAGTCATGAAGGTTGCGAACCTGGCCTCTGCATCAGGCATGGTGGTGGCAAAAGGTGTCGAACGGAAAACTGCACCGAAAGCGCAGAAGGTCGTTCTGGCCACTGCATCTCCCATGGTGGTGGAAGGCGGTGCCAGTATCCATACTATCCATACTGCACAAAGGGTGCTCATGGAAGCACAGAGTTCTGCAAGGCGCATGGTGGAGGAAAGCGCTGCACATCATTGGGATGCACCGAAAAGGCAAAGGCCATAGCGATTAGCGGAGGCAAGCGCTGCGCTTTTCAGGGTGGTGGCGTTTGCACAAAGAGTGTGCATGGTGGGACCTCGCTTGATGGCAGAGGAGTTCATGGTGAAGGACTGTTGGCACTTAGGAAAAGCCCAAGGAAAAGCGAGCAACCAGATGACCGTAGTAAATAAATAATTTGATTGATTTGCCAAAACACTACTTGTAACAATTATATATTGTGTGAGACAAGTATTAGCACGGTTATTTAATTAATTACTATAATTTATATTGAAAACTTGTGTTGTACTATTATAAAAAAAATGATTATTTGAGTGTGATATTCACAATATTCCGTTTGTAGCCAACCGTCAATATCTTTTTTTGAGGCAAAATACCGCGGGGGAGGTCCCCACAGTTTGGTTTTAAATTAATTTAACCGGAGTTTACCGATACTAGTGGCCATGCACGCACGACACACGCGTGTCTCTATGAAAAGACATATTCGTATCTAAATAAACATGTGATGAAAATTACTCCTATGACACCAAGGACCAAGGATTACACGTGCGGAACACACATGTTTGTGGTTATGATAATCAATAATATGTTACATTATCAACAAATATAGTACACGAAAAAAGTAACAATACTTATTTTATTTGCTAGCGTAACATATAGTACACGAAAAAAGCAAGAATACTTATTTTATTTGCTAGCGTAACAATACTTGCCAATTAATTTCAAAGATCCTAAATAAACACTACTGGAAACTTGAATAGTTCTGTGGGAGATTAATTTTTCTGTGCGTGTTTCTCTATACACACAGAAAAAATCGTAATTTTTCTGTGCGTTTCAAAAATCCCAACAGAAATATTCGAAAACTCACAGAAAAATTGCGTGATTTTTCTGTGCGTGTCAATACACACAGAAAAATTGATATTATTCTGTCGGTCTTCTCAAAACTCACAGAAAAACTAGATACACGGGGAAAAAACCTAAACCTATCTCCAGACGCGGCCGCCCGTCCCTATCCCAAACGCGCCGCCCGCACTCCCGTCGCTCCTAGCTAGGTCTCGCAGCGGCCACCCCCTCCTCTCTTCCACCGTCACGGCGGCCACCCCTCCTCCACCGGTGAGGCCACCACCCTCCTCCACTACAACTCCTCCCCTCCCTTCCCTCGGAAGACAGCGGTGGCTGCCCGTGCAAGGCCGGATGGCGGCGCCTCATCCCCCCAGATCTGCCTCCTGCCGCACCAAGGAGCTTCGCCGCCCGCCGCCCCCAGATCTGCCTCCCCCTCCTCTCTTCCACCGTTGCGGCGGCCACCCCCTCCTCCACCGATGAGGCCACCACCCCCTCCTCCACCAGATCTGCCTCCTGGCTCACACCATATGCCTGCTCCTCTCCATACATTTCCCCTCCGCCATCCCGCACGCCTCCATCTTCTCGATTTCTCCTTCCCTCTCTAGGTCCCGGGCCTTGCGATGATTGGCGAGAACGATTTCGGCTTATGCAGAGATCTTATCGTCCTGGGGCACGGGCTAGGGTTACCGCCCCATTTCGCGCCTCTCCTTCCTCCTCCGGTTTGGTGCGCTCTCTCTCTTCCTCCTCCCCATCGAGTTCGCTTGACCTATACGGTCAACCTCCCACCGCGGATTCGTGTTGGTCCTCCAGTGCTCGACAAAGATATCTCACCGCCCCCATCTCCTACCCCTCTCTGTGCGGTGATTTCTGTTGAATCGTTTGTGGGTTTTGTTTGTCGTCCACTGATATTAGGGTTCATGTTCTTAGATACTTAGATCTGGTCGACATTTTTGTTGATCTACATGTTTACATTTGCTTTCGTCTTGTTCCGCCCTCAGATCTGTGTGATGTGCACCTCTTATTTGTTGTACACATGTGTTGTCGCCTAGATTTTGCACATGATGATGCCTAGTCCGATTTACAAACTAAGCAAAGTACCTTGGTCGATGATGTTTACTTAACCCTAGGCGCTAGAGGAACACCCTATGGTGTGGCAGCCGCGTCTTGCTTAAGTCTATAGCTCTGATTCTAGTGAGGGTTCTTTGTGCTGAAGCATCTAGAATTTATGACACTGATGTTCAATCTCTTGATATGACTATGATGTTCAAACTCTTGATATCTATTTGGCCAATGATGCAACATGAAAAATAAACTCTGAGGTGGCTGCAATTTGTTTTTTGTGCATTCTGTATGATTCTCATGACTGTCATCAAACTATAGGACATGATCTTAGTTTTCTTCTATCTATTTTTTTTTGCCTTGGTAGCCACCTATGATTGAGTATCTGGAAATTGTACCAACATATCGTTAAGTTGAGGCCTCACTTACTTTGCCAATGATGATATCATATTAAGCATGCCAAGAGCTTGTGTTGAGGTACTGGAACTTTGTTTCTTACTCTGTTTGTTTCTTATGCTCCAAGCTCAAGGTCAACCGAGGAGCAACTGATATCTGAGGCCAATGTGTTGAATACTACATCATTTGATCACCATCTTATTATTGGTATTTTGTGTACCTGGGCTACATGCCATGCACAGCCACCTATGGACTAATGGATGGGAGAAATAAAACCCCATCTCAATAACTGATTCTTTTGGGACTTTCAGATGCTCATCAGACTACAACATTTGACTTCAATAGGATGCTCTCTGATTTGTATCATAGCTGTCTTTAGTGTTTTTCTTAGTGTATGGTAGATGTGCTGATACAAGCTCTGTTTTTGTGCTGCGATTGATGCTAAGAGTTAGGACTTGAATGTTTGTTCAGGTTGGATCAGGTTTGGCTCTTATTGAACTGTGCAGTTTATTTTTAGAATTTGTTGCAATACAGTAGGGTATCGGGGACTTGGGTCTGTCAGTTAACCTTGTCCATGGGATAAGTATGTATGCAACTTGAGCCCCGGCTACTGTCAGTTAACCTTGTCCTACACTATATCATATAAGATCTTTAGTTTCTGAGCCCCGGCTACTGTGTCTTTGAGAAAAATTAGATATGCTAATTTGGGCTGCAACTAAGTGCTCTTATTATGATGCAACTTGCTTAAGCATGTCACTGCAATTATCTTGATCTGCTGGCTTTGCAGCAGCTCCAACTCCACTACCCCAGCCTCCCCAGTCACCAGAATCATTCGTAGCACTAGCATTTTGTTCCCAACTTAAGTTCATTGTTGTGCCATTTTCCCATGAACTGCCTTTCTGAATATTTTGCTCTCCAACTTAAATATTATACAACACTTGCTTGAAGGCACATGAGATGCCAATAAGTTCCCTCACTTGCTAAATGCCATATGGAATAGACCTCCGTGTGTCAATGAGGTCAAGTATAGGTAAGCAGGCATCAATTGTTGTCCTCCAGGCTTGGTATGGTAGACTTGATATGTCTCTTTTCAAGACAAAAAATCTCCCCTAATACATGTTCGTGTTCATTAATGCTATCATATTCTTCTAAATGAGCAGGACTGGTGTCTCCTCCGCTTATTCCTGTAGCAGGCCAGTCTATCCATCTCTGCCTAAGGTGTGCTTAATACCTGTTTGCTATATGCTTATCTTTACATGTTTGCCATCCCTTAAAATGACAACACTTCCGAGTGAGATCTATTTTCCTTCTATGAAACTTGCAAAAATTACAATTGAATTATACAAGATGAGCAGGTCTATGAAACTTGTAATTTCCTGTTTGCTGCTTAACTAGGATGAGTGAAGCTTCCTTTCTTCAATTACCTTTTGCCATAAGCTTGCCACTAGGGAAGAATTGCAGGGAGTCCGTAGTGATGTGGCGGCCAATGCTCAAAACATTGAGCAGATCAGGCAGTCATAGGTCAGCCTTGCTGCACACCTCTACCAGATCTTCTAGCCGGCGACTCTAGGTATTCCTTTGTTATTTATTGCTCAAGTTGTGTCCCTTGCGCGTTTCACTCCTTAAATTTCCTTATTACACTTTTCTGACTCAAACCTCGCCTTTCTTGCAGGTGTAGCTCCGGCGTCCTATCCAGCATCATACTCTCAGGGATACACTACATTAGGCTCAGCTTCGATCGGTGTTGACTTAGGTTTTTCTTCGCCTTCCTGGATTTTATGAGTTACCTAGTCCTAACCTAGAGAACTTAGTCCTAACACTTGCTTCTTTGTCGCTGCAGGAGTGTCGCCGACCATGCCTACCACTGGCACCTTTCCGTCGCCGCACTCCTCGCAGCAGCAGCAGGAGCAGCTACCGCCGCCATAGTAGTGAAGCTCATCATGGTGTCCTAGTCGTTCTCTCGTGATGGTTTAGAACTTTGATGTCGGTCATTTGAAGTTTGCTTGTCGCCCAGCCACATTGGGCGTGATACTTGTTTTGGTACTCTTGATACTTGATCGGTTGTGTGGTCACCCATCAAGGTCCCTTCGAGTACTGTATTTGTGTATTATTTGAATGAAACCTTGTTGTCATGCACAAAAATTATTGTATGGAAAATATATATTTTAATATGATGTTGCTACTGTTTAAAAATAATTTTTTTTGTGCGTTTAACTCTTTTTTCTGTGAGGCTGGCTACACAGAAATATTCTTTTAAATCTGGGTGAAATGAATTTTTCTGTGAGTTCACCTAGACCGACAGAAAAAAAAACATGTGTTTTTCTGTGCGTTTAATTCTTTTTTCTGTGTGAATTAACATGCCGAAAAATTAGTTTTAATCTGGGCGAAAACAATTTTTCTGTGCGTGTGAGACCCACAGAAAAAAAAAATCTGACTGTGAACCCACAGAAAATTTTAATTTTTCTGTCATTATATTTCTGTGGGTATTTTTCTGAGGGTACACCGTCAGAAAAATATTTTTCTGACGGTATTCGTATTTTTCTGTGTGTTTTCGCACACACAGAAAAAAGCGAGATTCCAGTAGTGAAAAATGCATTATTCTCCTTGTAGTAACCATTGCTCTCCCCTGGAATCTCCCAAGATTTACCTCCTTTGTGCAACCCATATAAAAAACATCATGAGCAAAAATATCACAAGTGCCTCCATCAAGATTGCTTATTCCTGTGGGTTTTGCATTAAACAAACCAGTCATTGTTAATTTTAAAGATCCTAAAGAAAAATGCCTTATTCTCTTCATAGTAACCATTGCTCTCCCCTGGAATCTCCCAGGACTTACATAATTCCATCACAAGTGCCTCCATTGTACAACCCATAT